GGAAATATTCTAGGCAGACTGGGTTAGGCCCTTGAAGGAGGCAGCGTAGGAGATGAGAACACACTGCAACTGTGGCTAGAGGCACAACTGTTGAGGGCCAGGCATCAAGATAGAGATGGAGTTTCCAGGCCCATGTGCTTGCCCAAGAGATAAACAGTAAATTAAACATTATACTATGACATCATCTTGCCCAATGAAGTCTAGATAGACATCAGTGGATGACCATGACCTCCTGATCCATCTCTTACTAAAAAGGCCTTTGTTCTTCCCATGCACACTTGCTATGGGACCTGCTTCCCCACTGGATCAATATTACCTAATCAGTATACTTACAGTATTATTGGTTGGTCATAGTTTTGACCCCTGTTGTACCCACCTGGTGATTTTGCCTTACAAAACTTTTTTTTCTTTGAGGCAGGGTCTCGATATGTAGTTCAGGCTGGCCTTTAACTCTCAGTGATTCTCCTGCCTCATCCTCCTGAGAACTGGGATTATAGGAGAGTGTCACATGAGCTATAAAACTTCTTTAAGGGGACGACCCATTTTTGGGTCCCCTCTTGCATCTCAGGAGCTATCTCAATCAATTTTTCCCACTCTTAATCTCCATTATTACTTAAAATCCATTCTTTGATTTGGGGGAAACACAAACTCAATGTGTCTGACGTCCAGAAGGTTGGGAGTTACATTATTTCCCCTGAATCAGTCAGTCTACAGCACGGGGTGAAGGGAGGTGAGGAAAGGGTCAGAAGAAGGTTGAAAGATCAACAAGGGGTCACATTAGTGAGATCCTGGGATTCTCTGAAAATAATGACAACCTCAGCAAATCTGTTGCTTCATTTTAAACAAAAGATAGGCAACCTGGGCCGGGGATACAGCTCTGTGGCACAGTGCCTGCCTGGTAAGTGCAAGGTCCTGAGTTTGATTCCCGGTACCAAAAAACAAAGTGGAAAAATAGGGTACCTGGATTAAAATTTTACTTCTGAATTCTGTACTTTATTGGTTGATCTAATCATTCAAATTTTAACAATTTCATTGTCTGACCTTCTGGAAAGTTGTTTTCTGTCTCAAATGAGTGAGGCTATCAATGAATATGGAGTAGAAAAGGAAGTTGGTCACACCTCTCGTTCTCACTGGCTGTGTTCAATCACTCTATCAGCAAACATTTTATCTGGTCACTTGTTAATGCTGGCTGGCGGGACTTTGTTTTGCATTTGATGGGGGTGGAGAGGAACCATGTTTTAAGACATCAGCTCAGGTATGCTAGCACTCAACTGGGAATTGGAAAAACACCTTGTGCTTCATGAATCTACATATATATATTCAGCTTAGAAATGAGTTATATCAAAGACCATTCAGTAAGAACACAGTCACTAAAGCCAAAAGACCAGACCCAGCAGTGCTAACCTGCTTAGACACACAGGAGGAAGGGTGAAGTTAAAAGGGACGGTCTTCTGCCTTTTGAAATGGACACAGGAACATTTTAGGAACCAGCAGGTCCGTACTGAACTGCTACAGACACACACACACACACACACACACACACACACACACACACACAGAGCACACACTGAATACCACACAATACACATACCACACACACCACACTGTCACACATTATATACACGTTACACACATACCACACACATTACACACATACTGCACTCATGCACCACACTCACACACATTATCATATCCACACACACACTGTATACTCATAACACCACACATGTATCACACATACCACACTCGTACACTATACACGTGCATATCACATTTTAATACATTCACACACATCACACATTCATATCCACGCACACACTGTACACGCACAACACCACAAACATGCCACACATGCCACACCCAGATTCTCACATATGCATGTCACCCATGCCACACGTATCACACACACATGCACCACGTACTTACACATCACACACACCACTCCCTCTCACACACGTGATGCACGTACTCTCACATACCACACTTACAACCGCCTACCTACCACATCTCCACACCCACTCACTACACACTGAAAAGAACATAAACATCTGTGCTAAACTGCTATGCAAATACACAAACAACCACACACATGTATGTGCATGCACTGTTCAGCTTATGGACAAAAGAAAAAAGCAGTAAGGAGAACTAATATTAAATCTCTGTACAGAACTACTATTATCTGATGTCTTTGAGCTGGTTTTAAAGCTCTGTCACCACGTTGGAGCTTGAGGGCATGCATGGTCTCTTGGTAGTGCCAGCCCAGGCTGTTTACCTGCCTGGGACTTCTTTCCTTTGGTCTTCACATTTGACCAAGTGTTAGTGATTTAAAATGCTCTTCTGGCCTACTTGGTGCTATAGGATTATAGATACTATAGAAATAGAAGTTACATTCTGTTCTTTTTAATGGAAAAGCTCCTAAAAAATCTAACCAGAACAATCCAAGGAGGATAATTCTCCGGCAGACTCCTCTTTCTACAGATAACAGGACAATTTAATGGACTGAAGAACACAGTTTCAAAGGTCCTTGTACATCAGAAATCAGAAATTTAGGGATTCTGTTCTGTATTAATTTCCCCCTGGCTCCAGTCTTCAGTTCTGTATTCACACATCTTTCCCCCGATTTTAAAACTGTTTGATCTTTTTTCTAGAAAGAGCTCATAATCCATTTCAGACGGTTTCACTGTTCATTTCAGTCGGCCCTCTGCATTCTGTAGGCTGAGGCTGATTGTCTCTGCAGCTGATTCCACTAACACAACTTAAAGTAGTCCAGGGATGAGATTGTGGCAAGAATCTCTAAATAGCATTGGTAACAAGTCAGAATTTGCATCATAAGAGCCAGAATTCGTCTGAAAGGAATGCTGTGGGTGGGTGAGTGGGTGGAATCAGCAACAATAAACTATCTTTTATCAGAGGAGGACTGAATTCACCGCCACGAATTAACGTATTTCATGACATATGAAGCAAAATCTCGTTTGTCCAGACATCGAAACCATTTTAACAGCACAAAGACACGACCGCTTCCCCCACGCAGCCTTCTCTTGCTCTCTTGACCACCTTGAATTCAGATGCCCCTGAAATCCTACCTGGCTCATGTGCCAAACTTTGTACATTAGCGCTGTGTTATTTTGTGGCTTTCTTTTGCGATTTTTTACTTATACATTTCATCCTCTCAAGCAGAATACTGATCTTTGCATTAATTCCATTATTTTTTACAGACTCTAGTGCTAGGTACTCCAGACCACTCACCGGTCTGAAAAAGTACCAACAAGTTGACAAATTTTTTACTTCTCTAGTACAGCTCAAAAGAATCGGGCACAAGAAGTACAAAATCGTGGACAATATTGAGCTAATCTTCAAGCAGGAGGACTTTTGCAGTGGCACAGTTAATTTCCACCCTCTGTAATACAGACTGTGCAGTTTAATCTGTAAACGGATCCAGTCCACTGCTGTGACATTAGCCACAGGTTTCAGTAACCCACAGCCAGGGCAGCGTTTGCCTGTACCCTTAGTTAACATGTGGCCACATTACACGCTCAGTTTCTTTATGATCTTTGAGGGCAGCAACCTTTCTGCCATTTCTAGTTGTTTCCCACTTTAACACTTCTGTAGACTTTCATCCTTCTTCATCTCAGCTCAAGTTTTGCTATTTGCTTGAGAGTAAGATTAGTCATTTTCCATTCATCTTTCCGATTTGGAAATTAGTATGAAGCTAATAAAATCATCTCTAACGACAGTGCCAGAACTTCGCTGCCTAGTTGCTCTTAAATAGCAATGAAGTTGTTGATCATTTCAGTTCTAGAATTTGCATGGTGTCTTCCCCCTTCCCTGTAGAAGCCACAACTGTTGACGATTGTTTTTTCCTGCTGTGGGGAAAAAATCTTTTGACAGCAAGTCAGCGCCAGTCTTTGAGGCACCCCAGAGGACAGCCAAGTTGTCAGCCTCTGAGACCACTCAGTTTGGCTCTGCTAGGGACTTGCCTTTAGGGAGACAGTTACCTTTCATGGAATTACTCAAAGCTCAAGGCAAGTTAACATTGATTTTTCCCTAGGAAGCATGAGCTTTAAGCAAAATCTTTATGAAAGGATTCCTTCTGTGCATTTTCCAAACAGGCCTCTTTGTTGTTACCCCCAGGAGAGCCGACAGCCATTTGGGAATCAAATCTCCCTTATCATTTCCAGACTACTTTACCTTGTGGTGAGCACCCCATTGGTGGGAGGACCACAAATGCTTCTCTCAAGCATCACGCCTGCTGTGTCTGCAATGGCCCGCCCCTGTTCTAGCCTCCTACACCACAGGGAAGTCCCCCTTGGATTCCAAATGAAAATTAAACTCCTTGGAATCCAAAACTAATAAACTTTCACAGAGTAGTCCCAGGTAGATTGGTTATCATGATATTTCAGTCTCATTTAACCAATAAGAGGGCTGGTTGGCAAGCTCCCAGGATGAATATTCTCATATGAGCACTGGGATTAGAGGAAGCCAAAGGATTTTCCGCCATCTACATGCTCAACTTACACCCCACCTGGGTTCTGAGGTAGAGATCTTGTGACTGTTGGGGCCCTGTGGAGCAATTAAAAGAAATAAAGCAAAGTATTATATTTTAATTGATGTAATCTTCAAGCTCCCAGTGGAATCTGGGGTGATATCTTACTAGAGTTACCCCAGGTATCAATAGATGACTATTCTGTGAAAGTGCATTTAGGAAGACAAAACCCCATGAATCCCGGACTTCATTTACATGTGTATCCGTTTTGGGAGGGCGGATTGGCTCAGACTCCCAGGACTAAAAATTGAAAGAAGCCACCTAGACTTTCCTGGGACAAAGACTGGAACCTGGTGGGGGAGTCGAGAGGGAGGTAGAGAAAGGGGGAGGCAGAGGGCAGGTGAAGGGAAGGCACAAAATGAGCTTCTGGTTTATTTGCTTTAGAGGCTGGTGCCTGGATATTAGACCCACCGAACCATACTTTCCAAACCAAAACAGCTCTCACCCATCACTAACATTTCAGGGTTTGTTTCTGTTTTATTGTAAATAGTCCAGTCGAAGAAAGATAAACAGACGAGAAAAAACTGCTTCGTACAGTACACAGAGTCAGATAGAAAATACAGAATGGAAAAGGAAGCCAACAATCAACAGATAAAAAGGGGAAGCGAACCAAGGAAGGCCACAAACTCACACAGCAGCTGGAGGAAGGGCAGCAACCATGTCAGGGGCTAAGAGAAACTGCCTGGTGCTGTCAATCTCATCTGTGTTCCACAAGGTGCGGGAAACAGCATTTATAAATGATGCATGGGAACGTTTATTCCACTAATCCATTAAAAAAAAAAAGTCTGCTATTGATCAAGGTAGCCTGCTCATAAAAATGTATTTTTTAAAAAAATCCCTTCCCGCCCCAGTGTGGGACCCCAAAGTCAGAAACAAGGGATGGGGCTGCAGGGTGGAGCCACGTGGCACCGCTGGGGTCTGTGGACAGTTGGCCTTCAGGTGTCCTTCCCACCTGTCCAAGGCTCTCCCCAAGGTGTTAGGCAAGACTCAAAAGTACCTAAATGTCCTGCACAGCCTACTGTCACCGCATGGTTACAGTAAAACAAGATAAAAAGGATTCCAATTTAGGAAAGGGCAGAGGTCAGCTAGGATAAGACAGGCATCCTGAATAAGAATAATCAATGTGCCCTCAGGGTCTCCAAGAGGGCCGATTTACCTAGATGTCCTGGCCCACAGCGGGTGCTGACCTACCCAAACAGTAAAAGCATGGAATGGAGCTCAGCATCTCCAAAGATGTCTTTATTTTAGTATAGTCAGAGCAGAAGCAGGGTGAGCACAACTCCATTCCCGATAGTAGTGGCAGGGGCTGTTTACACCTCTCTCCCTCTGAATCTCCTGTTTACAATCAGAAATTGCATAGAATTTGTTTTCCATCAGAAAATGACAACTTTCTCCATGAAAGTCCCAAGTGGTGATGCCAAGCAGAGTTAAGCAGCTTCTGGGAAGCCTTGCCCCTCCCTTCATGTGAGTCTGCAGATGTCTTAGGAGCAGAGCAGTGACCAGAAACACCTGATAACCAGGAAGGCACCAGTGTACGAACTCCTATCCTACTCTGTGTATGGAACAGAAGTCAGATGCTTTGTGCCTAAAGTCACACAAGGGGCCGGGTGGCTGCTGCCCACAGCTGTGTTCAAGACCCAAGATTTCTGCTTCCCAGGCCTGTGATTGGCTATGAGACTCCATTTCTCTGTCAGAAACCTGGCAAATTCTTATTTGCCTGTAGTCTTGCCATTTAATAAACAGACACAAAGACACATACAAAATCACACACACACACACACACACACACACACACACACACACTCAGATCTCACATAACAGTAGCAAGAAATCACTCAATCCATGACAGTATCCAAGATGGGACATCATAGGCAGCTACTGAATTTGGCTAAAAGGAAATGTAGTTAATAAAGTATGCACCATACCAAAACGGTGGCCCTGTCCCTCCTCTTCTGTGAGCAGCAAGTTGCAGTGGAAGCCAGGGCACATTATACCACCCTTAGCAAGGAAAGGATGCTGTGTACAGTATTCCTCCACATCTCTCATCAGAGGCCAAAGACCAAACCCAACCCAGCAGAAGTGAGAGTCAGAAAATACAGAGAAAGAAAAAGACACATTAACCCTTGACACCTGAGACATTTCAAGGTCTCTCCAAGTACCCTACGGGTTAATTGCTTTTTGGCATCTGAAGTCTCTTTAATGGACTTTCACTGAGACTCCTCTGTTCCTTTCTCCAGGTCCCCGTCCTGCACTACTCCTGCAGGTTCCCACCCAACACAGTGAGCACAGAGCTCGGCACCCGGAATCAAATGCAGCTGCGACTCCCTGTGCTAGAATCCGCGAGAAAGCAATATGGGTAATTTAGACTTCCCTTTCCTAACCCAACCTCTGCCTCCAAAAACTACAAAACCAGTAAACGGGGCTGAGAGTGACCAAAGAAGAAAGGAGGGAGGAAAGAAAAGAACATTAACAAAAATATACAAATCCAGAAAAGAAAAACTTCCCTGTTGAGTTTAATTTTTTTTTTTCCTCCTGTAAGAACTAGACCCAAGGTACGAACAATGGCCCCTTCCTGGGAGAGAAGTTCAGCTGATGATCCCATCAATGCCTTGCCTGGTCCGGGCAGGGCCCCCCACCCCAGACGCTCTTATTTGGGAGGGAAAAGCCCACTGGGAGAAGACGGGTCCTTGTGCCCACGAGGGAGCGCATCCCTCTGCCACTTGGGTGCACCGTCTCTGGGTGCACCGGTCCGGATGGGGCACTGTGTCTCTGGCTGGCTGGGGCGTCAGGCTCTTTGACCGTTTTGTAAAGTGACTGAATCCCAGATCGGGGAGAAGAAGCCGAAGTGGCCGCTGGAAAAGTCCGGGCTCCCGCGCCCGCGGCCGCCAGCCCTCCCGCCTCCCCACCTGGCTCGCGTCGGTGGCCGCCGGTGGCTACTCGGGCTCGCTGCTGTTGGTGGTCTTCTCCCACTCCAGGCTCTCCTCGCTGCGGGCCGGGGACGGCCGCGCGCGGAGGCCCTGGAAGCGGCGGCACTCGGGGCAGACGCGGATGTGCGTGCAGCCGCGGGCCACCAGGGCCGCCTCCTGGGCCAGTCTCTGCGCCAGCTGGTCGGGCTCCCCGGCGCCGCACAGCTTGCCATTGCTGAGCGTGGCCGTGCCCCGGGGCCGCCGCTCCTCCGGGAGAGGGGGCCGGGGCTGCGGGACCCCAGCGCGCCGCCGGCGAGGGTGGACACTGTCCTGACACAGGATGATGCTGCGCAGCTCGGTCACCATCTCCTGGCAGACGGACACCTGGAGGAGACAGGGAGGTCACACAGGGTGGTCACAGGGAGGTGCCAGCCCCGCCATCCCCGAGGGTCTGTGGGCATGGGGACCAAGGCCGGGCTACAGAACCAACCCATCTTAGGGATGCAGGCTTTTCAGTCCAACACCTCTCTCCCAGTCCCTGGCTGTCCAGTCTTCCAACACTGCCTGAAAAAGTGAGCTCACCATCGTGGCAAACAGCCCCTACCACTTCCCCTGGTACCCACTGTTACCCGCTTCCTTCTACTGCGGTTAAATCTGGGATTGGACAGCTACTAACAACCAAACAAATAAGCACCCTCTACCCCTCCAGTCACCAGAGTGTCTACCACATCACCATCATTAATTCTGTTTTCAGGCCAAAGACTCATTTCTTTTAACTTATTAGTCATGGTTGGTAATGATGCGTTCTGAATAATTAAACCAAGTGCAGCCATGGCTACTATAGGTCTACAATGTGCTAATACAGAAAGAACACTGGGCTCTGGCTGTTTCAAAATTTGGAACATTTTGGACTTAAGGAAGGTAATGCAATCTGTAAATGATATACAGTGGGTGTAGGGCAAGCTCCATATCAAACACATTAATATTTCTCTGGCAAAGTGCAAGTATGATCACACTGAGAGAGATAAGGCCATAAACATTAGTCAAACTTTTGTCACTGAATGTATTTGCATCAAGTTTATATATAAAGATCTTGGAATTTTCCAAGGTTTGGGGGTTTAAGAGTCACGGATGAAGAATCATGAGGCTGCATTACTAGCCACTTCCCAGATGTGCAAATGGAGGCTCAGGGATATATATATATATATATATATATACTAAAAAATAGCCGACTAGAATTTGTGTCTAAATTTATCTAATTCGAAGGCCCACGCATGCTTGGTTGAGCTCTCATCTCTGAGTGTGAAAGGCCATTTTCCTCAACCAGGACCCTAAAAGAGCTGCCTGTTCTTCCATGTTCCACCATAATCAAAAGGCCAGCACAGCCTTGACATTTCGTTGGCAGCTGAGAGTGCTCTTTTATTGAGTTTGTTGGTGTATGTCCAGCCATGGGTAAACTCTTGGGAGAAAACCAAACATAAAAGAAGCTAAAGATAGTAATACCTAATGGAATATGACCAGCTTTAGTACTTCAGAGCTAGGTTTTAGATATGTTAATAGGAGATTCTTAGCAAGGCATGTAACCTCCAATTACTATGCCATCAAAAATTTCTCTGCCTCTGGCTAGGGATTTAGCTCAGCAGCATAAGCACCTGCCTTGCATGCACATGGTCATGAGTTCGATCCTCGGTACCCATAAAAAAAAAATTTCTCTGCCTCAAAGGACTTATATCTAGAACATATAAAGAATTGAAAAACATCAGGCCCCCCAAATTCAAAGACCCAATTTAAAAATGAACACACATCTGAGATGAACACACATTTCTAAGATGAAGAATTACAGATAGCAAATAAATACATGAAAACATGTTCACCATCACTGGTCATTCAAGAAATGCAAATTAAAACAGCATTGAGATTTCATCTCACCCCGGAAAGAATGGCTGCTGTCAAGAAATCAAATGATAACAAATGTTGGTGAGGCTGTGGGGAAAAAGAACACTGCTCCACTGTTGGTGGGAGTGTAGACTGGTGCAACCACTGTGGAAATCAGTGTGGAGATTCTTCAAAAAACTAGGATTAGAAGTCTTATTTAACCCAGCTATTTCTCTGCTGGGTATTTTCCCAGAAAAATTGAAAATATCATGCCACAATGATATATGTGCACCCATGTTTATAGCAGCACAATTTGTAATAGCTAAATCTTGGAAACAATCAAAATGCCCAGAATGCATAGAAAGATATATTTTTATATAATGGAATAATACTCAGCTACAAAAAGGATAATCTTGAGGTTTTTATAGGTAAATGGAGGCAATTTGAGACCATGCTAATAAGTGAAATAAATAAAACTCTCATTTATAAATATCATAGTCTTCCTACTATAAAAATAACAATCTGAAAGTGTAATAGGATCCAAAATATACAATAGATATTGTAATAACGAAAGGGAAAAAAAGTGCTCAAAAGGACAAAACTACAGAATAGGGGAAAGGGAAAGATCATACGTGTGTTGGTAAACATATAAATCTATGTATATATATGCACACTAGACAGATAACTACTACTAATCTCTCTTAATTCATCAAAAAGAACATTTTGTGTTATTATTTGATTGATAACTTTTATGCCTAGATTTTATAACCTGAACAACTGAGTAGTTCTGAGATAACAATATGCAATATAAAAAATATGCAATATAGTAACTAGTGTTATTTCCCTACTTTTCTTTTCTTTTTTGAAATTCTGTATCATTTCTATACTTTTATTTGTGTCTTGCTTTTTTTAAGAAAAATTCCTCTGCCTGCCTAGTCTATCACATGTGATAAGAATAAAACATGTAGTTCTTGACCGTCTGTAGTATGTCAAGCCCTGTGCTCTGCAGTGTCACTGAAACGCACTGTGAAAGTGCTCCATGCCTGCTACAGTGGTGTTGGGAAGGAAGAGAAATCAAGAGCCCTACTGGTCCAGGGGAGAAGGCAGGAGAGATGAGGAAGGTTTCACAGGGAAGGGATCGCCTGAACTTCGCCCCATGCAGTCAGCAAGTGGGCAAAAACAGAAAGTCAGCAGAGACAGTGGGAAGAGAATAAGAGAACCACAAAAGCTTGGTGTTACACCAGACAAGAGGGGAGAGAAATTCGGGAAGGGACTGCCCACTCTTCAAGGGGTACGTGAGGTCCAGTAAAGCCCAGTGGGTTCTCTTTGTTTTTGTCCTTTGATAAAACAGGTTGGATTGTTTAGTGATGGCCTTTTAGTGCCAACCAGGCAAGGACTGAAGATTAAATGGGAGGTGAGGGAAAAGAAAATGACATTATAGTCAGATCTCCTTGGTTTGGAAGAAAGGAGGGAAACAGCAATAATAATCAATATGCAATTGTAATTAGTTTCAAAATATGGGTAACAAAAGTGTATCTATAGATTCTATAGATCAGGAAAAAATACAGAAAAGGCAGATGATAAACCTAGATACAGCGGGTGCTTCAGAAATACAGTGAGGGTTTAAAGTTTTTAAAAATTATAGTAAAAGACACATGGCCATTACTCCCCCTTACTTCAAACACACGCATTCTTGCTACTTTCTAAAGCAGTTCTGGAAGGCCTCTTTCCTGAGTATCTTTCAGAGGTTTGATAAAAAATACCATCAGTGTTGCTTCTAAGAGCCACCCAATGGGACAGTGGGAACTGACCGTTACAGCACATCCTGATCCACCTTATTCTGCTGATCTGGTATCATGCAACTTCTGGATTCTCCTCAAAGTCAAAATGACCGTGAAATGGAACATTAGGAATCAATTGAGGACACCAAGTCAGCTATCACTGTGTCATTAAACACACTTCCTGGGAAAGGACTTCCAGCACGCTTCAGAAAGTGGCAGGAATGAAGGGACAGGTGTGCTCAAGGGGAGGGGAGGTCTTGGAAGGGGGATTAGCAGCACTGCGTCTTTTATTGTAAGGAATTTTATTTCAATCACATTTCTCAGTCCATCTCATAGCTGAGGAATGGCAAGACCCAGGGAGAGGCCGGAGATGGGGCATCTGCTACAGATGCAGGAACGAGTGTCTTAGTTATGCACGCATCTTCAGGTGGTGATCTTCACTTAGGGCTATTCGCTGTTTCTTGGGGAGGCTGGTGCAAAAGTAAGCTTTATGCCTGCAGGACCAGACAACATGATGGCTGAGTGACAGCATGGCACTACTGTGTGGTGATGGCGAAGGGGCTCAGCTCAGAAGAGGAACAGCACTGGCCGGCAGAGCTGTGTGGAGGTCCCATGGGAGGTGGGACTCCCCAGGGTTCTAAGGGATGGGCTACACAGTCTTGGAATGTTTCTCCACCAGTAATTAGGGAAAGGGGTTTCAGGAAGATCCAGAGTTGGCAGCTTGTGGTAGGGGCTAATGTACTTCTAAAAATCTCACAGTGTAATTAACATGCAAGGATTTGTACGCATTTGCTGGAATGGAGCAGAAGAACGTTAACAATTAAGAGTCATCTTCTCAGTCTCTTCCTTCAGCGTGAATTTTACCTACTCACCTCTAACTGCAAGAAGGGAATGAAATTTACTGAACATCCTGCAGAACAAGGACTAATTTTTTGGTTCCTGTAAGTTGGGATATCTCTGGGGGTCTTAATCTATAGGCCAAAACCATTCAAAATGGAAAGATGGAGGTTGTATTTCCCATCACTAACCTGGTACTTCTATTTACACACACACACACACACACACACACACACACACACACACACACATACACACTATACTAACACCCATTCTATGAGTACTAATAGTCAGTGGGTAACAAAGTATTAAGCCAGATTTCCTACCCCAAGGCTTGGGGTTCTTCCCACCACACTGTCTTGTGCACCATCCGGGGGATTTCACAGGTCCTGTCTAAAATACTTATACAAACCTGTGATCTTTACCCCCTGCCAGCACTGGAGACCTCACCCTTTTGGAAGTTTACCTCAGTTGCTTCTGAGTGTCTGAGAGTCCATAAAAACTCCAACATTGCCATAAAAATGGCCACGATTAAGCCACAAATAAGAACCACAAAGATTCCACCAATATTCTCCATTCCCAGACCTGTAAGAAAGTGTAACAAATGAAAATTATTGTGAAAGAACAGGAAGACACAATAATTCTACCAACAGTGCCAATATCATTGAAACAGCTGGTGCTTAAGTCTTGTAGATGTATTGGAAACACTTCTGAAAGAGAGTTAATTAATTGTTTGAAAAAATGCAGGGTAGCTGGACCAAAATGGGGGAGGGAGCTCTAACTGCCAGTGAAGGAGACTGGACAGGCTACAGAAGAGTGACTGTGGCCAGAGGTGAGGATCATTCTGAGAAGAGGGTGCAAGCCATATCTGATTTAGCTCACAGCAATATGAAACCAAGATACTTGCAAACTCTAGCAGGTTCATAAAGACTTGTCAATCTTTTTCATACTGTGTTTGTGTAGCGTAATGCAATTGTTCTAGCTGGAAAAAAAATTATGTTTACCAGTGTCAGTGTGCTATGATTTGAACAACCCTAATCCAAAAATCTGAACCTTTGAGCACTGGTGTGATGCTGAAGAAGTTTCTAATTTTGGAGCACTCTGCATTTCCAGTTTTTAGATTAGCAAGGCTCAACCAGTAAATATTGCAAAATCTGAAGAACTCTGAAGTTTGAAACATTTTCCAACCATTTGGAATAAGGAATATTCAACAAGTTACTACAATACTTCCTTGGAAAGTAAAGCTTTTTAATCCCCAGACTATTGGTTCCCAAAGCTGGTTGCTGTTAGAATTTCCTGAAAGCCTGTTAAAAACAGATTTCCAGTCCTTTCTGAAGACCTAGTGGGTCATTGTCTCTGAAGATGGGGCTCAGGAATCTGTATTTTGAAACAAGTTTTGCAGGTGATTTTTTGGTTTAGTCAGGCAAGCCTACAATTAGTTTGCAAATTGGTGTCTTTGAAGCATTGTACAAGTTTTTAATCTCCTTAAAGTCTGGTTGCATCCTCACTGCATCATGGGATACCTGAAGTAGAGGATGGACTCGATATGTAGTTGTAGAATTTTATGGCTGTATCATTTGCACAGTGTCTGACAGTGACTTTAGCTATGTAACTAAATGCTTTCTTTGGCATTAGAGAAACCTGAACTTTAGGAAGAGTGTCATAAACACATGAAATTTCATTCAACAGGGACTGCAATCATAAATCACAAGACATCTTTTATCCGGGAAACTGCCAAGAAGGACACTTATGTCTTGTGCTCTTCAGGAATCCTTGCATGCTGGCACGCTCATTCAATCATCATGAACACAGCCCCGTGCTAGTTAGGGAGAACCAGTTTCACACAGCACTACAAAACGAGCCACAAGTGAGGAACAGAGATTAGATACTGCCTTGTGCACCTTGGCAGGCTGGAAAAATAGCCCTGGCTGGCTATTTCAAGATGCATTGAATTTCCTCCCAGAAAGCCCCAAGTGAGTGTCTGTTGTTTTTGTTTTTAAAATAACAAAGTACAGTAGCAGCCCCTGTCCACACTGGGAATCTACCAGGAATGGTTCTGAGGACTCACACAATGGATGACTCGAATAAACTATTGATTGTGGTCTATTAGATAGCCATCATCATCAACTCTCGTGTTCCTGTGTGAATGTAGGAACCTCTATACCGTAAATAATCAAAATGGGGGATCATTAATGACAGGGAATTGTTCCCAGAGGAGGATGCTTTGGTTCAGTTGAACACCTGCTCCTCTTACCTGCAGCCATTTTGGAAAATGTCTTTTTCTGTGGGAGGACTACGATTCACATGAATGGGGAACCAAAAGGGACAGCCAAGAGGGAACATACATTTAAATGAGTCTGGCTGGGATTTGTGTGCAGGGGCTCCAGTCCCAGGTTTGGGGATGGTGAGAACCTGGCATTAGGATATGTTCAGCGCACCATGGACAGACTAGATTCTCTAGGCAGACTATGCGAAGAGGAAGTGACAATGGTGATACTCGGAACGGCCACCTACTCAGGTAAAGAGCCCCAGATGACTTGGGGTCCTCTGGGGCTCCCCTACCATTTCAGGAGGGGCATAGAAAACATGAGGAGGCCTCCTTGAGGGATTTCCCTTCTTCTTGATTCTGAAAGGGGATGTTCTTTTTCCTGGATTTCACCCTGCCACCTGCATGCCAGGTTTGTCTCCTGTTAGTCACCACTTGGGTCCTCTGATCCCTTTGTCTCTACTGTTTTGTTTTTTCTCATTCATGTTTTTTCTCCTTCAAGAAGAAACATCCTTCTGAACCCTCTAATCCTGCCTAATTAACACCCCTTCTCTATGTTTTCTGTCATGGTCAAGCCTTTTGAAACTACTGTCTACATTAGAGCTGGTTTAAAGCATTCTAAAAGCCCCTAAAATGCTTACCTTAGGAAGTTCCTTCCCATATAAAAGCAGGTAGGAGAAAATGTCTGTATTAAATTAAATGCATTTTAACAATTTTGCTTCTGATATTACTGAATGGAAAGAAACAGTTAATTTACAATTGCTTGTGATTTCTCAGCAGCCACTGTGCATAACAGGGAATGTTTGCAAAATGAGAAAATCTAACTTAAATTATTTCTAAATATGATGAAGGGTTTTTTTTACCAATATTAAATTTAAAAATTAATGAAGTGGAAACAATGTTCCACCTTGGAGGTATTTAATTAAACATATCTTAATTTAATTTTGCCGTTTTCTTTTTGCATCTGGAAGCCAATCATTCTTTTCAGGCCTTGAGCATAATTTGGACACCTGAAAAGCTTTTAGGCCCCAGGTGCTCTGTCTACAGTATCTAAAGGAGAAAATGATTCTGCGCTGAATCTACTTTTGTTCCTCCTATTCAGTCCTCATCCCAGGCAATTTTGTCTTGCACCACTAAAACTGCTCTCATCATTTTGTTTCTAATCTACTGGAAAATTTCCAGGCCTGATTTTGTACAGCCTCTGTCAGAACTTCATACTGTCAATCACACCCCCTTCTTGGCTTCTCGTAAAGCCACTGCCTGCTCTGTTCTTCCCATCTTAACAGTCTTTGCTAGCTCTGGGAACAGTCTGTCCTCATTTTTCTACATTTGGTCTTTTGCTCTCCTTCACATGATGCCTGTTGATGCTTTTACCTCCGAACCCCTCTTTTACCTCTGAAACCCTTTCCGACTTCCTACCCTTCCCTATTTATCTCTTGCTTCAGCCACTGCAGCAGCCTCTGAAATGACTTCCCTGCTTGGATCTGCTTCTCTTCAACTCTGCCCTCCACACAGACGCCTGAGTGGTCTTGCTGACATATAAAATGTGGCCGTGATGTGCCTGCTAGTGTCACAGAGCTGTATACAGTTCCCAGCAGGATCGCTACTCCTCCCTGTGTGCTTTATTCCTGTTGGCACATCTGCCTGGAATTCATCTTAGACACAGACCGAACCTCAGTCTTTCCTTAGAGGCTCATCTCCAGGGCCACTTTATCCCAGGGCCCTTCCTGCTCCTATCTGATTGTGTTAGCTATACCACTCTTGTGTTTCACAATAACACACTGTACATCACTCCAGTCATCTCAAAAATACATTGAATTTATATAGCAGGATTTCCTTGAGGGAAGAATTATGGCTTGTTCAATCTTATGACCAAAATCGTAGCACCTGGCCCCCTAAAGGAACTCAATTAATGTGTTAAAAGAAGGAACAGAAAGAAAGAGCACAAAGACGTTCCAGATGTAGAGAGCTGCATTATCAATACAGAGGGTCTATATTGGGGTATCTGTCAATTTCCTAATTAAATTTCTTTGGCGTAGTAACAGCTGTCAATTTGGCAACTGTCATTGAGGAATTCAGGCAGACGACCCAAACTGCACTGGCCAAAGAGCGACTGAATACTGACATGGATAATACATCCTGTGTTGGGTGGGGAAAGTCATAAATGGATATGTGATCTGTGCTGGATAACTCTGGATCTTTCAAGCTTCTTGGAAGAGCTAAGGTTTGAACAAGATGCCGGTAGGCACCATGCATCACCATGCACCATGCATCACCATGCATCACGTTGGTCCCCTGGTCTTTCTTTCCCAGCTCCTCACATTTCAGAGCCATTGTGTTAAGCATGGATGTTGCTTCAGTGTGTCAATTCCTGGCCGAGAAGCTGTACCCCATCCTCCTCGTCCTCCTCCTCCTCTTCTGTTTCTTCCTCCTCCGTCTCTTCCTCCTTTTCCTCCTCCTCCTCCTCCTCCTCTTCCTTCTGGGAGCAAGGCTTGCATACCATTCGTGCTTTTAGGAAATTGTTGGAAAGTAGAAGCAAGAATAGATTGCTGGCAGAAGCACAGTTGAGAAACAGATGGAGCAGGGAGTGGAAAGGAGTGTTCAGAGAGTGTAGCAGTTCAGCTTAACACTGTCATCAGTCATCCTTGAGAAGTCAGGTGCCCGGCACAGTACACAGCCATTCATCAGCAGGAGCCTTTTGTGTGGACTCCCTCCAGCCCGAGAGGCCCTTGCCTCACTCACAGATGCCTCCGCACCTGTGAGAGGGGGCTGGGAAGCCATCTAGTTGCCCCTCCTTCTCTTCTTCAGATGGGACCACGCATGAGCCATCCAGACAGATGGCTTTGAAACTGGGAGCTGCTCCTGCCACCCGAGTCTGCCCAAGCCTCAGTTATGCCCAAGCAATCAGCCTGCATTAGCTGAAACAGAATCAAATTCTCCTAGAAAACTTGTGATTGGTTGAATACTAACTTGGGTATCACTCACAGATTGCCCACAAACACAAATGTTAATTCACAACACAAATGCATTATTCTGTCCATCTCTAGAACTACAGAGGGGAATAGCAACCAGGAACAGACCACCTTTGAAGAGACGTGAGTCTCCACCCACCCACCTGCTCTTCCTTTGGTTCTGACTGGCTAGTGACAGCTTCTTAGATTTGGGTGCACTTATGCTTTGCCCTTAAGACCCTCACATAACTCCAGGGAACACTGTGGTTGACCAAAGCAGAGGGGGACAAAGGTATGGTAAGGGCCTGTCCCCACAGGTATAGGCGGAGATGGCAGAAACCATGGAAGCAGATGCACAGAATCCACAT